AAATGAAGTTCTAATAATTTCTCAGGAATAAGTAATAGACAGTTAATTAATTTGAGATGAATCAACAATGAAAAAAACCATAATTTGTTGAATAGTTCATAGAATAATATGTTTTATCTGAAGGCAAAGAAAATTAATTTAAACTCAACAACCTTTATAATAATATGTAGTTCATCATGTTTTGAATTAATTATTCTAGTGCGTTTTGTAAAATGTTTATTGGTGAAAAAGGATGATTATAATACTTAAACAGTCACACAAGCATTTGTACATGTCAAGAAACGCAAATCTATAGAAGTTTCGATTGTATCTGTTATCAAACACTTTTTTAACACGAAGGACTTTTCTTACAAACTAGGCTTTTTTAATTATTTTCTTCTTCAAGTGTTCATTATTATCTTTGAAATTTTCGAGGAACAACGTAATTGGTTACAGTAAAATAGTCCTAACGACGTCTTTTGGTAAATAAATATACTAGTTCCTGATAACCCTTTTTCAAGACTCAATGGTCTACGTATATAACCTGATTGACTGAGTAGTAGTACTAGCCTATGGAAAAGAAACAATAATATTCATATTTCGTATACAGACTAGACAAAAGAAAGCAAAAGTTAGTTCAAACGTAAGTCTAATGTATAAGTGAGACTCGAAGTAAATGAGGCAAGACGAAGAAAGCAAAAAGAATCTTTAGTCATTGTAGAATCTATCTATGTAGTTGGAAGTATTCATGAGTATGTCGATATCAAATAGAGTTATTAAATCGATTAGTTGTACTGCCGTTAGAGTATAGAGATATTTCGAAGATATACAACAATTTTTGAAAACCAGGATCAATGTTCGACGATGTTCTTGTATAATTACTTATGATCACGTTTTCTACCATCATTTATTCCGTTTTTCATGCAAAAATTTCCCAAAACTAAGAAAGTTTAAAAAAAAGGTGTCGAATACTTTTGTTCGCCGTCGTAAAAAGCTAAAAAAGAAAAAAATATTTTCAGTTGCGATTCACTATGCATTGGCTTACATCTCTAATATAAATATTCGTAATTCGTTAAAAAAAATTAATTAGGTACTAAAACTCACCTACTACTAATTAAGTTTGTTACTGATCACCATTCAATGAAATCATATTGCATCTATTGATAATAACTTGTATTTCATCACGAATGTTCATGTCCACGAATTCAACATATTAGTTGTAATTTAAATCTATATTTAATTTGAGCAAACAAAACTAATTTCTATAATAATCCTTTTCATGAATCTTCTTTTCGACATTCTCCAACGAAGATAAATTTGTATCATTTCAAGATAAAAATAAATCGCATATCTCTCCTAGGATTTTATTCATCTAAAGCAAAAAACATTTTCATTCATGTCAGGCATCATAATATAGAGTTGTCAAACAAAAAATTGATAACGAACACATTTACATATTCCCTAATTCCTTATTTAAATCGTTATATAGATACAAATATATATTATAAATGTAACTTGGAAATTATAGTACTATACAAAAAACAAATAAACAATAACAATACAACTACTTTTAAATCATGAGCAAATTAAATATCACCAGATTGTTGATAATCAAAGGCTGACGGAAATTTGAATTGAAGAATATCAAAATTATTTTACACTAATCTTTGTTTAATTTCATTGTATTTAACAATAAACAATCATTTTATTATTACAGACTAATATCCTGAATTATAGTCACATCATTATTATCTTCATCATC